AAAGCTGACAAAACAAAATACTATTGTGTGTGAGTGTGGAGAGACAACGAGAGGGAGGCCAGAGAGGAAAGCATATATTTAAAAAATCAGTACTTGCGAGAAATTCTATTGCTTTATATCTATGACATTCATACCACATCTGCAGTGATATGAAATCAAACGTGTATATGCTGTATTCATGCCTCATTCCTGTTCTTGGCGAAGCAATAAAACCTAGACGGCAGTTCCCTCAGGCAATGCTTCACAAATAGAAAGCTTTCTCCTTTCCTACTCTTAGATATACAGCATAATAGTGGGATGGGATAGAGTGAGCATTGCTTGTTGCCAGAGGTCACCCAAACTGCTTTGTAGAAGGGAGATTTGCTAGATCTTCACAGGAATATACCAAACAACCAATGATTGGCAATGATTGACTGGAAAAGGCACACACAAGTGTCTGTCTGCCCATTACTGCTCACCGTACATGCTTGTCAAACTATAAACATCCAAATTCAAGACAAAACTGTTTAAATTTTGGGCAAACGGATCATGTCTGAGACAGACTGGAGCAAAGTTAGAGAGGTGGCAGAAAACCACAGGTATCTTCCTAATAAGCTTGTTGGCTTCTGCTTCAGGCAACTGAAAGCACTTTGCTGAGGCACAATAATACAGTCACAGGCACCATGTGTCTTATACACTTAAAGTAGTGCATAGTCATATAACAGTCATGGTATCCCCATAGAATCGTGGGAGCTGTAGTTTGTGAAGGGTGTGGAAGATCCGTAAAGCTAAAGGGACCCTTGACCATTAGGTCCAGTCGCAGAGGACTCTGGAGTTGCGGCGCTCATCTTGTTTTACTGGCCAAGGGAGCCGGCATACAGCTTTCGGGTCATGTGGCCAGCATGACTAAGCCGCTTCTGGCGAACCAGAGCAGCGCACGGAAACACCATTTACCTTCCCGCCAGAGTGGTACCTATTTATCTACTTGCCCTGCGTGCTTTCGAACTGCTAGGTTGGCAGGAGCAGGGACTGAGCAACAGAAGCTCACCCCGTTGCGGGGATTCGAATTGCTGACCTTCTGATCGGCAAGCCCTAGGCTCTGTGGTTTAACCCACAGCGCCATTTGCGTCCCTTAGGAGACTTCTATTCTCCTCATAGAGCTGCAATCATCAGAGTGGTTTAACAATCTATCCCTTTCCCCAGGGAACTCTGGGAATTGTAGTTCTGTGAGAGGAATAGTGGTCTCTTAACAACTCTCAGCACTCTTCACAAACTACAACTCCCAGTATTTTGGGGGGGAAGCCATGGCTTTTTAAAGTGGTATGAAACTGTTTTAAAAGAATAGTGCAGATGGAACCTCAAAGCAGTTGTTTTGAATACTGTTTATGGTTTTGAAAAGGAGCCAGAGGCAAAGAGTCAGGGTAGAACTAAGATATCAGAAACATTGGGCTGCCGATTAAAATGGCGGCCTTCTGGTGTCTTGCCCCGCTTGGGGTCTGGAGATTAGCTTTATGATAGGCTGTGGCTGGGATTCAATTCTGACCTGGGTGGGTGAGGGTTGAATGGACCAGAAGCAGGCAATGTGGTCACAGGTGTCTGCCTGGAGGCCAGGCAAACAAGGGATTCTAGTCAGCCAACTTTTTGCTCAGAGTTAGACCCACTGAAATTTACGTTCATGACTTACTTAGGTCCATTAATTCCAGAGGGTCTACTCTGAGTGCAAGTTTTAACAGTAACTTTTAATATTTCTTGTAAACCTCGTAGAGGTTTTGTTGCAATCAAGTGGTGTACAAATTCTGTTAAATAAAATAAAATAATATATAAATGTTAGCTGAATACAGCACAAGTCCAGAAAAGCCAGAGGCAGCAAGATGACCTGATGGAAGATGAGCTGGTGGTCAGATATTAGAACAGGCAGGCAGGCAAGGCTAGATGGGGTGAGGACAGAATAATAATAATAATAATAATAATAAATTTTATTTATAGCCCGCCCTCCCCAGCCGAAGCCGGGCTCAGGGCGGCTAACAACACTAAAATAGTGCAACATTATAAAAACATTATAAAAATTTATTAAAATTAAAATTAATGGCAACCATAAGCTAAAGTTTTGTAAAGATTGCCAAAGGAGGGAGTCAGGCTGGTGTTAGAAAGATGGTGTTAGGAATGTCAGAAACTCTTTTATACTGAATCAGACGGTTGGTTCATTTAGCCCAGACTGACAATGGTTCTCCAAGGTTTCCCTACCTGGAGATTGAACCTGAGATATTCCTCATGTAAAGCAGATGTTCCAACTTTGATCCTTGGCCCTCCCCTGTGTTGCTTGCCACCCTGTATTCCAAGTTTCTCAGACTGAAGAAATGGCAGCAAAGATTTTTATATGATTGATGTGCCACCCTGACTTGTCAGGTCACTTGACTGGCTTCAGGCTTTGGGTCCAGAGCTGACAGTCTTACAAGACACCCTTGGCCCACAGAGCATAGCCTGGCTGGCTGGGAGATCTACTATTACTGGGCTCTTCTCCATCCTTTACCTTTTAAACATGCTTAAGCATTTCCTTAGTCAACGTCTCTCTTAATTTTTAAGTGGCAATTTAAAATTCCAATCAACGCCTCACATTACGGTATGTAACGAAAGACGGAAAGATGAAATGCCAATCTGCTTGCATTTAAAAACGTGCATTAATATATTAATAAAGTGTCTTCAAAGCGTTTTTATTCCCAGAACAAATTCCACTTCGATCAGGAGATCCGTGCAGGCTCAAAGAAATAAAAAAACTTTTGGTCCCTCGCATTTAAGATGAGACAAACTCGGAGGATTTGTGGGGGTAGGATACTGACATTCATTTCATCAATTTCAACAGAAGGAACTGGTCCAGGTGGAAAGGCGGAGGGAAACTGTGGAGCGAGCGCTTTAGGCAGAAGCTGTTCCAGCAAGCATCAAGGAAGACCGGCAGACTCAAATTGAAGAACGTCTCCCTGATCCCAATAAATTATACATTCCCTCATTAGAAGAAAATACTGTCTAGATGAAAAGGAGCAGAAAACATGACCCCACTAGACATTTCAGCTGTTTGCAGTGAGAGGTGGTTCCTTTAAGGGGAACTGTTCACCCGCCCACATGGGGACTAATTGGCTGCCTTCTCAGCTTGTGAGGGGCTGCATCAGATGACCAGCTGAAATCTAGCAAGAAACCAAAGCCTTAGTTTCAAGAGAAAGCAGGAAATGATTCTTCCTGCCTGCTATCAACTGGATCAAGTTAAGCTTCTTCGGAAGAGATTTGGGGTGCTCCCACTTGCAGCTGATGATCAAGGCCCAGCCCCAAAACCTGCCCTTTAACCAATCATTCATCCTCATCAGGTGAAACCTAAATGGGTGTAAGGTGCAAGGGCCCAGTATGTTGGCTCCACCCTCACTGTAGCCAAGTACATCTTCTCCATCACCACTCCCCTACTTTGTGTTGAAAGCCTAACCCCCGTCATTTAAAGAGGGGAAATCGGGGCACCCCCACCATCCCTCTTGCTTACCCCCCGCTCCTACCTTTGCCCACTGGTGTCCACCTAGTCTTCCTTTGCCAGCCCTGCAGACCATGACAGATAGAGGAAGAAGAGTGGCAGAGTCAAGGTAAGGGGTTTCCCCCATTTTTGGGTCTCATGCTCTGGTGTGAGCCAACTGATTTGCACCACAGTGCGGAGCCCAAAAAATGCCCATCTAGAGCACAGGAGCCGGGGCAGAAGCTGGGGGTCGGAAGCTGGGGCAGCTTCCATCAATCCTGGATGTCCCGCTTAAAACAGGACACTTGGAGAGTATGTGAAAGGGGCTTCTGCGCCCCTTTGACTGAGCATGCTCAGGAAACTCCTCTTCATTGGAAACTCAGATAGTGCAGGACTCCCTGTCACAGAGTACATTCTGCCAGATGGAAGCCTCCTGCAGACCTTTCCATCCAACCTTGCCATGTAGGGGGCAAGATGGGCGTGAACACTCCAATGTCTCCCCACACAATTATTCATTTATTTGAGTCCATTTATGAATCGCTTCCCCAAAAATATCTCAAAGTGATTTAGCCTTGCTGTGATCAGGCTTAGTTTGAATAGAGCCAAGGAGTGGCAAGTTTTTATTATAATATAAGTAAGTCTATCCAGTTATATTATGTGGTGTGGTTGGTCACTATGAGAACAGCAGGAAGGACGAGATGGGCTATTGGCCTGATCCAGCAGGCTCTTCTTATTTATTTAATTCAATTTCTTACCCACCCTTCACCATCAGGTCTCATAAGTTAGTTGTTTAGCATAATTTAATATCCCCCCTACATTTTGCTTATTTTATCTGGGCATGACTGATTATTATTTTATATTGTTTCAGGTATACCCTATAGAGATTTATTTTTATTAAGCGGTTTGTGAACTCCAGGCCATTCGAGGTATATTGCTGCAGCTGAGGAGAGACTTGTGAGAGGGGGCTTTTGATGGAGCAGACTTTCTAAATGTCAGGCACAAGCTTCCAAAGTTCACAAGCCTTCCTTCTGATCAAAAGACAAGGTTGAACCACAATTTACCCAAATTTCTCTCAGAACAAAGTCATGTCTCTTAATGCCCTGGAGAACCTGCCAAAAAATTTTTTAAAAGTGAAAAGGTTGCAGCTCAGTGCAAGAGGACAGTCATACCTCATGTTACGTCCGCTTCATGTTACGTTCTTTCAGGCTACATCTCACAGCGACCTGGAAGTACCAGAAAGGGTTACTTCCAGGTTTTGCCACTCACACATGTGCAGTCGTGCAAAATGACGTCACGCGCATGCACAGAAGCGGCAAACTGCAACCCGCACGTGTGCAGACGTGCCGCTGTGGGTTGCGTTCTTTTCATGTTGCGAACAGGCCTCCGGAACGGATCCTGTTTGCAACCAGAGGTACCACTGTATTTGCTTTGCGCACTGAAAGTCCCAGGTTCAATTCCTGTCATATATTTATAGAGTTTGAAGGGATGGTGAGGGTTATCTAGTCCAACCCCCTGCAAAGCAGGAATCTTCTGCCCAACATGGGGCTCGAACCCACAACCCTGAGATTAAGAATCTCGTGCTTTACCAATTGCACTAACCAGTCTGGTAGGGCTGGGAAAGTTGTCATGTCTGAAATCCTGGAGAGGTACTGACAGTCAAGGTAAACAATACTGAGCTGGATAGATTGTTGGCCTGACAAGGTAGAAGGTAGTTGTTTGTACGCTGAGAATTGACCATCTTCAGACCATCTTCAGTCATATAATTTTAAGTCTATATCATTTATGATATCTATATCCAGTCAGTGCAAGACTAGGCAGAAAAACACAACCTGCCCTTATGCCACTCCAAGTTGTTGTTGCTGTTTATTGAATTTGTATATCACCTTTCATCTAAAGATCCCAGGGCGGTTGTGGTGTGGGGAGAGAAATTCCTACCAGCTACCACTGGTGATTGGCTTTCTGGCTTAAATTTCCTGCTGATTCCCAATTCCCATTGTCTTTTGGAGCCTGTGGTCACATAGCTAACCTTCAGGGCTTTGTCTGACTTCTCCCTCTTACCCTCAAATGCATCCCCTCTGCCTGCCCTGGGGCTGAGAATCCTGCTGCTGCATGTGTAGTTCAATGCAAAACTGAAATGGAAGTTTATGACTGACACTATTTGGGTGGGGACTAGAAAATGTGGCTCCAGAGTTTTAAAGCAATGGCACACAGCTGTGTTCCATATCTCTGCAGCTGCCATTTGATTGTTTGAATGTGTGAAGCCCAATCACTTTCTCACTTAATTCAAACACAAGCGAAAGAAGGCTTGTGGCAACTTATAGCATCTAAAGACTAGCAGATTTACAGTGGCATAATACATCTTTTAGCTGTACAAAAGGGGGGGGAAATAATTCATTGGATTGTGCTCATGCAAATTGGTTGTGTCATAAGCTTTCCTAGTCTAAACTTCACTTCTTCAGATGCAAATAACAAGCAACTGCTGTGTATTTGCTGTATATATCACTCCTTTGACTGCATTTACTGGTTTTTTAACCAGTGCCTGCTTCTCTGATAATAGGAGTGGTGCCTGCAACAAAAGTCAGTCTTCAAGGTGCTAGTAGAATCTTGCATGCATGTGCATTTGTCTTTTCTGAGGCAAATCTCACTGAGTTCAATTCGACTTGCTCCCAGAGAAGCTTGTATGGGATTTCAGTCAGTTACCCCCGGGAAAATTGTTTTCTCTCCCAGGTTGTCTCGCCTTGTTAAGTAGCAGGTTGGTATGATTGGGCAACAAGATCCAAGGCAGGATACATCTCACCTTTTCAGTCATCAAGAAGAGCTTGCAAATTTCCCACAGGCACCTGGTCAGCCGCTATTGAGGATACTGAACCAGATGGGTGATTGGCCTGGTGCTGCAAGCTGTCTACTCTTAGCGGCAGTGGCACTTAGGCAGAGGTCTCTGCCATTACCAGCTACCTGATCCTTCTAACTGGAAGCTCCAGGATTAACCTTGAAACATTTGTCATGCAAAGCATTTGGTCCGCCACTGAACTATGGTCCCTCTTCCACCAGTGGAAGAGATGCAAATTCACAGCTGGATTCTAAGGCAGATGCAAATTGCACTTCTCCAGCTACACCCACAGTGCAGATGAAAGCACATCAGATTGAGCCATCCCATTGTGCATTATCCAATATGGAACAACACCCATTTCTTTCTGTATTATCTATCTCCATTTGTTTTCGCCAAGTAGACTATGGCAATTTTATTAACTCATGAACTCAAATCTAGGCCTTGCTTTTCTCTCCCTGCTCCTCCTCATTTACCAGGTCTGTATATTTATAATAGATGAAGGGACGAAAGAACCAAACAGATTCTGCCAAATGAATAAAGCATGTTCATATTTTATTCCTATCACAGAATTTTGAGGCACTTTCTAATGCAAATATGCTGCTCTAAGTGCTTGGAAGATTCTGGCATAAGTCGTTGTCTTCTTGTGGGCTGTTTTGCATCCTTCAGAAATGAACCAGGGAATGACTATACGTACTTCTGTCATTATCCGTACATTACCAGTCTCCTCTAAGCCCTGTTTGGTGGAGGCACTTTCTCCTCTTAGCCTGCACCTCATTAGTCATTCTCCATGCCCACAGGTTTCCATGACAGCAGGCAAAGGAACAAAGCAGAATCGAATATGTTCTGCCGTTAGAAAAATGCCAACCTTTATGTTGACTCTGAACTTCCGTCTTTCATTGATATTTCAGGGTGATCTTCTGGCTTGACAAAAATAGAGACCTGTATATTGTTTCTTCATAAGTTACAGGAGAAGCGAATGGACGATTGAACAAATGGACACATCAGACCATGTTTTTATTTTGCCTTTGCTGAGCAACGTTGTACTCTGACGGAAGCGTGAAATTACTGACGATCCCCATGGCTGGAGTCTCAGGAAGCAGCTTTACACCTTGTGAACTGTCTAGTAGGAAGTTATGTTTCAAAATAATACAAAGCACAGCCTTCCCATAGAAAGTGAGGGAAGAATAGATTGTGTTGGAGATCTTGTGGAACACAGACAATGGTATTTATTCGTTCTCTCTCTCTCGGAGCCATTGACGCAAAACGGAGGTTTCCGTTAAATAAGAAGAGCTCTTTTGGTGTTGCTGACAAAATGATGAGAGGGATATCAAATCCCTCATGTGAACAGCCCCCCCCCAATGCTGCTGTAGCTAGCAGATACACATGATGGCCTGGTTCACCCACCACATTATTTTAACTATGGTTTATAAAACTATGGTTTAATGTGAAGAAACTGCAGGTGCTTTGTTCCTTCTCTTGCACTGCTGCTGGAAAACTAGACATAATCCGGCTGGTCATGTTGACTGAACCCAGGCTTGTGACCTCTCCCCTCCACCCCCAACTGTGAACCCCAATCCAAGAACAAACCTTCTTTGGAGAGAAGATGGGTCATATGCCTGGGTTTGGACAATATGACAAGCTAAACCATGGCAGCACAGCAGCAGTAGAGGAGAAGCCAAGTGCTTGCAGTTTCAGCAGCGTGCACCCACTGCTTGCTCCCATTAAGCCAATTTACTTTAATTGTGGCTTAATGTGATGTCTGAACCAGGTGATGAGGAAATCGAGAACTGTGTGATGTGCTCCCTTCTCCCACCCCAAAGACTTGGTCATGCATTCTATCATAAGAACAACATTTTAGCATGCACATAGATTCAGACTCATACTTTAAAATTAACAAGAAGCAAATTGAGAATGGGGGTTTGTGTGTGTTAAATTTCTCTTTTCCCCCCTCCCCTGAGTCACAGATAATTGGCACAGGCAATTTTTCCCCTCTTTCTTCTCTTTCTAGAATATGCAATTTTCTTGTCCGAGGAACTGCAATCTCACTCTTACTTTGATGGATCCATTTCAATTTGTTTTACTTTGAACGAGAGACTGGCAAAAGCATGCCACCATGCCAAAGGGAGATGTTGGGGACTTCCTAGATTTCTGGCTAGTTTTCATAGCTATTTGAGATTTGGGCAGTTGAAGGAGGCCAAATTCACAAACCAGTGAGAAGTCCAGGAAGCCCTAAACTCCTTTCTTTTGGCATAAGTCAAATGATGGCAGACCTGTGATCTCATATCTTAAGTGATATGTACTGAAGTTCTCACCCTGGGCCAGCAGGGGGATACTGTAGATAGTTATGCAAATAAGGGATCGAAAGTGACATTCAGTGATTGGATAGTTTTAGAAAATTGTTACAGTTGCATTGTACTGGAGCTCTATATAAGCAGGCTGACTGAACCCTTCAGTTCAGTTCAGTTCTGGCCTGTGAATAAACAAGAGCTGTTTGAAGAATCGCTGTGTCGTCTGATATGTTCACCCACAACTTAAGCCTGTGATTTTACATTCTCATATGAAGTCAGGGGAAATGTGCACCTGTAAAATTCACCCAAAGGGTAAGTTATGCTTATGGTGCTTATCCAACTAACATAGTTAAGAACGTACGATGCTGTCACTTTTGAAGCAGAGGGGAACGCTCTGACAGGGGCAACTGCAGACGTCTTTTGGAAATGCACCCAGAATATCAGGATGACAGATTCTGGACTTCTGCTCCCAACAACCCACAAAACAAGGGTGTTCCAGCCCACAGTTTTACAGTTCTGAAAAAGAGGAAAAGCTAAAAAGGCGTATTGACATAGTTCCACTAAAAATATCTGCTGCAGTCCTGCTTTTGCTTAATCATTCCTCTGCTGTCAGCGAGTTCAGGCTTCCCATCATCCATTTTTACTTTAAACACATGGACTTTGTTTCCAAGTCATGAATAAGCATCTGCACATTTTAACACACCAAATGTTAATCTGTAGTTATTTATAGGGAACTATGCACAGCCCTTTAAAAAAACCACAACAACACAAGAAGTTGGAAGCTTTCCTTTGACATAATACGGAAGAAACAGATGGAAGGGTTTGGGGGTTTGTTTTTTTTCCAAGGGCAGCATTATGCTAAAACTGCAGAAGAGGCTCTCCCGAGAATTTAGATAATAGCGGCAAGAAAAGAAGTGATGCATGAAGTTATATGATGCTTCTGGAAGCTACAAGCAGGGACCATCATTATTAACATTTGCATTCCATGCTTCCTCCGAGGAGCTCAAGGTGACCCATTAAGGGGTTGGCCCATTTTCCCTCTCACAACAAACCCACAGAGATAGGTTAAGCAGAGAAATAGTGACTGGATCAAAGTTACTCCACAAGCTTCATACTGAAAGCAGATTTGGACCCTGATCTCCCTGATCCAGGAGCCACTACCCACACTGCCTCTCTAGGAACGAGATCATAATTATTCCTCTTTTCCACATTTACGAACACAAGACTGAAAGTGATTTGCCCAAGGCATTGATTGAAATAATAACTGAGAAATAATAACTTGAGCTTTGCGTTCCATGATTTACATCCAACACTCTTTGCACTGAAGCATGCCAGCTTTCAAATCAATTTTGCTTCCCCGTCTCCACCAGGTTGTAAAAAGTTCTGTGGACTGGACCAAGAGGGAGAGAAAAGCAAATGGGTAATGGCAACAGCGGTGAGGAAGAGGTGGGTGAACTAAGAGAAGGGGCCTCACTGATAACATTTTGCCACCTCTGTTCCAGGCAATTAATTGATCATTATTCCACAGAGGGCTCTGGCAATTACTATTCTACAACCTTTCCTTCCTCTCTGCTTCCAGAGATTGGGGGGGGGGGGCAGGAGAAAGGAAAAGTTCCATTATTCAAGTGCAAGTCCTCGTGCTAACAGCATGACTTTTTGGGATACAACCCATTATATAGTCCCACGTTAGTTCTATCTTAGTTGTGAAAAATGTTTTTTTTGTGGGGGGGGGAGGATGTGGCGTATTAACATTCTCATTATAACTCACTACACAGACAAATCAATTAAGCCTGCCAGGGCCGGATTTAGGTTTGATGAGGCCCTAAGCTACTGAATGTAATGGGGTCCTTTATATGTTCAGCTGTCCTTTGTCAACAACAAATTGTCACTGTTTTTTGTGTTGAATATATGGTAATTTATGGACCTAATAGGTATCTAAAGCCATTTGCACATAACAAGATATGTATTTTATCGAAGTAATTGTTGAACTGAAATACAATTAAGAAGAAGTATATTAATAGTGAAATTGGGGGGGGGGGGCTCCCAAGAGAGTGGGGCCCTAAGCTATAGCTTGTTTAGCTTATACGTAAATCCAGCACTGAAGCCTGCTTTCAGAGCAATCCGAAAATGAGATTCCATCAACACTTCAACATTTTTGCAAAATGGTTATTATTAATCCAAGAAAAATGACCACATTCAAAATAAATGTTTTTGGTTGGTTCATTATTATTATTATTTTACAAAATTACACTGAATTGGTCAAAAACTGACCCAAAGTCATATAAATATATCCTTCAAGTGTTCTAGTATCTGTTCCTTGGAAGTGAAAGGCAGGTAGCTAAAAATTGCCATAAAAACAAACATTCAATCAGGACAGCCAAGAAAGTTTACTATCATGCTCATATAAAATAGAATACATGTTTGCGCTATTATGGCTGACCTTCATCTTGACTATTGCATAGACAGCCCCTTCAGGAGGGTTTGAGGTGGGAGGGGTTCATTGTTAAATAAAATCCAGGAGCAGGCAGATTTTTGCATATACCATTGGTATGGAGCCTTGTTTTCTGTTCATGTAGGTTCTAGTTAGAAGGCAGGCTTGCTCATATATTCTTCCATTGTCTGCAACAAAGAACAATTAAGCTATTAACTCAGTTATTAAAATTACGCATAGACGATAATGTGACAGCAAGGAAATTGGTTCAGTACCAAGAGGTGCTTTGTAAATGATGAACATCTAGAGCACTGCAGCTAATTTGCGAAGCTAATTGGAGATCATTAACAGAATTTGTATGAATACTTGCATAAGTAGACTAATTCCCCTCTCCAGCTTAGTTTCCTAGCCAGGTGGGCTGTCCATCAAGCCAAGGGTTCAAAAATCACAGGGAGGTGTATTTGGCCCAGTTAAGTGTTGCTCGATCCGTTTACAATAGTCTAACCTAATTCCATTTTTTTCAGCTGCTTGTACTAAAGTCCTAAGTCATTTTTTCCTATATAATAAAAAACATCCAAAACTCCATGCATGTGTGAGATATCTATCTATTTGGGAGGAGTTATATATAAATAAATCCTAAAACCCTAAAGCAGGGGTCCCCAAACTAAGGCCCGCGGGCCAGATAAGACCCAAGGGACCCATTTATCCGGCCCGAGGCGACCCCCGCTGCCACCGCCCGCTTAGCGGCGCGCCTTCCCACTTCCGGGTCAGAGGAGCACTGGAAATAGCTTGTGCGCATGTGCATTATTTGTGCATGCGCAAGCATTATTTCCGGTGCACATCTGGGTCAGAGGAGGCCCGTGCGCACAAGCTATCTCCGGTGCTTCTCTGACCCGGAAGTGCGCTGGAAATAGCATGTGCGCACGGGTATGGGCACGCACTCCTCCGCGTGATCAGCACTGGAGACACCAGCCCAAGGCACGCTAAGTTTGTTGACCCCTGCCCTGAAGTGTGTCTGAGACCCATTTTACTGTCCTATGTGCTACATTTACATTGATTCCCACCACACAGGGCTGAATCGCACAGATGACATTTCCCCCATGAGGCACCCTGAGTTTCTTTGGATACATGCCCTCAGGGATAAATGTGACACACTATCCATAGAGTCATGGATACAGTTCCCACCAACTCCTGGTATCATGTTGGCTGAGGGTTCAGAGATATCCCAGTCCAAGAGACAGGCATTTTGCCCAGCCAAAATGATCAAACAGATGCAGCAACCAACCTAAGGAAAGCTTACACAATTTGGGACTTTTGTATAAAAGTATCCATGGTTTTCCCCCTCCCTTTCTCGTAACACCAGAACTCATGGAGGTCCAGTGAATATGACTGCCAGCAGAAAGTACAGTCAAACCTTGGTTGTTGAATGTAATCCGTTCCGGAAGACTATTCAACTTCCGAAATGTCTGACAACCGAGGATCAAAGGGCGGTCGTCAAAGTCAATCAAGAAAAAAGAAGAAAACTCCCCGGAAGCCATTCAGCTTCCAAAAATCATTCAAAAACCAGAACAGTTACTTCTGGGTTTTTGGCATTTGGGAGCTGAAACGTATGGTACGGTAACAGAGGCCTTCAGGAACCAAGGTTTGACTGCACTTCTTCACCCAGGTCATACCTATGCTATGGAATTTGCTCCCAACTAGAGGAAATGATGAGGGACATGGGTGGCGCTGTGGGTTAAACCACAGAGCCTGGGACTTGCCGATCAGAAGGTCAGTGGTTCGAATCCCCGCCACGGGGTGAGCTCCCGTTGCTCGGTCCCTGCTCCTGCCAACCTAGCAGTTCAAAAGCACGTCAAAGTGCAAGTAGATAAATAGGTACTGCTCCAGCAGGAAGGTAAACGGTGTTTCCATGTGCTGCTCTGGTTCACCAAAATCGGCTTAGTCATGCTGGCCACATGGCCCAGAAGCTGTACGCCGGCTCCCTCGGCCATTAAAACGATGAGCGCCACAACTCCAGAGTCGGCCACGACTGGACCTAATGGTCAGGGGTCCCTTTACCTTTAGAGGAAGTGATGACCGCCAACTTGGATGGCTTTTTTTAGAAGCATTAGACAAACTCATGGTGGATAAGGGCTATCAGTGGCTACAAAGGTAGCTGGATATGCTCTACTGCTGCCAGAGGCAGTATGCTTCTGAATACCAGTTGCTGAAAACCACAGAAGGGGTGAGTGTTGTGGCACTCAGGATTCGCTTGCAGGCCTTCCACAGGCATCTGGCTGGCTACTTTGCAAACAGAATACTGGACTAGATGGCCCACTGGCCTGATCCCACAGGTGGTTCTTACGTTTTTATGTCCCAGGATTACACATTTAGATCCCTTTTTACTTCCATCCACACAAAATGCATTGCCTGGGAAGGCCAGCCGCTCTGATGGGCAAGAACTTTAGTGTGTGAACAGGTCCTTAGGAATTTGTAATATGTTCTGGATTGTGCTCTCTCTGCCTATTTTGCACAGCCAGCAGTTGCAATTACCACAGCTAGCTTATTCCAGTGATATTCACTCTATGGCACATGAATACCGCTGGCTTATTGTCTATAACCAGCTTGACCAGAGCAAAGGTGCCAAAAACATCTCCCTTAGCATTAATTTATTCATGGCACTTTCAGTTCATGTCCGCCATATTTGACTTTCAAAGAGGGAGCAACACTCCCACAAGGCTTTGAATAACAGGCCCTATTCCAGGCATAGGCAAACTCGGCCCTCCAGATGTTTTGGGACTACAACTCCCTAGCTAACAGGACCGGTGGTCAGGGATGATGGGAATTGTAGTCCCAAAACATCTGGAGGGCCGAGTTTGCCTATGCCTCCCCTACTGTCTTTCAAAGGGGGATTTACCGCAAGGTCTGTTTTTGGCCCAAAACTGGGGTTGCCGCAGACAGCTCTGCTGGTTTTGAAGCTAGCAGGCAGACCATTTATGCTTCCGCTTTGCTGCGCAAAATAAATCAATAAAAATAGCCAAGCACTTTTTAGACACTAAAAGGGCTGAAATGAACATTCCATCAAGGATTCAGCAAACGGTGTGAGTAACTGATGGTCACTTTTTCTGTAAGAAAAACAACCAACACAAAGAGCTTCTGAATAGTTCGAGCCAGGGTTTATAGAATGCCAAATGTGAGTGGGAAATCACACAGCAACAGTCATCTATTTGCCCACCAGTCTGCTATTTATAATTTGCAAGAGTTAAGCTGCTACTTACACGAGAAAACCAAAGGACATTTACTTAAGAATAAGTCCACTGAACTCCATGAGATTTCTCAGTGAACATGGATAAAATAGGCTGTAAAACACACACCTCCTAATGCTCTTTGACTTTTGACTTAGACAACAGAACATTTATTAGCAAATAAAATCAAGCACATTATTGGAAGATTTGCGTCATTTGTACCTGCACCGGGGGGGGGGGGGGGGGATCAAGTTTACACTGTATGAATGAATATTTACAGTGAAGGTTGTTTAAATCAGTTTTTACCAACCTAGTTTCTTCCAGGTGTTAGACTACATTGTGCATCATCCCTAACCATTGGTCACACTGGCTGGGACAGATGGGAATGGGGGAGTCCAACAACGTCTGGAGGAACCAGGTTAGGAAAGGCTGTTTTAAGGATATTTTATTTTAATGGGGGTTTTGTTTGTTTGTATCTTTGTACATTTTTGTGGTCTGCCTTGTTCCATTCACCTGGCATTTGTAGACTTCTTTGGTTGTGACCTACAGCCCAAGCAATAAAACTTGAGCCAAACTGGGCATCAAGAGTAAAAATAAAATAACAAGAGAGTGAGAGAAACCTGGATTTAGCTTCTCTCATACCTCTCTTGCCTCTTCTTACCTCTTGTAACATATCAGCATCTTCTATAGCTTTCACTGCAGATTTTTTGGAAGTCTCTTGAATTTCCCCTCCCATCAGAAACTCATCAAGAATAAAGTACGCCTTTTCAAAATTGAAAATAATATCCAGTTCACACACCTGGTAAGGATTGCAGAGAGAAATATTCAGGCACACTTATTATGGCATTGAGTGTGGTTATGTGCACAGCCTCATCAAAAACCTGTTCTGTGTGTGCACCCTGGTGGCAGGCAGAGAACAATGGAGACACAGGACTGAAAGCATTAAGGAGGTTTCAACATGATAATATTTCAAAGGTGAGGCAGCATCCCATGATGCTTGCATTATTCTTCAATCAGTTTTGTCCTAGGGTTAAATCAGGGTTTCCCAAACATGGGTCCCCAGCTGTTGTTGGACTACAACTCCCATCATCCCTAGCTGGCAGGACCAGTGGTCAGGGATGATGGGAACTGTAATCCAAAACAGCTGAAGACTCAAGTTTGGGAAAGCCTGGGTTAGACGAAAACAATGCCATACCTATATATTAAACTGACTTCATCATACTCTGGCACCTCAGGCATTGCAATGTTCCAAAAATGCCTGGTGCATTTATTCAGTTAGATTTCCCAGATGGCCCAAACTGATTTTTAAACTCCTCTGCCACTCACTAAGTGACTTCTATCCCACATCCCCTCCATGGTACTCAAAGTGGCATCCAGTGGTACCTTGGTTGTCGAACTTAATCCGTTCCAGGATTCCCTTTGTCTCCCGGAACCATTTGAAAACCAAGGCTCGGCTTCCAGTTGGCTGCAGGAGGCTTCCTGCACTCAATCAGAAGCCGCAGAACCCATGTCGGATGTTCGGCTTCGGAAAAATGTTTGCAAACTGGAAGACTCACTTCTGGTGTTGCAGCACTTGGGGGCCGATTTGTTCAGGAGCCAAGCTGTTCAACAACCAAGGTACCACTGTACATGGTTTGCCCTCGCTTTCCAACTCATATACCTGTGGGCTGAGAGACAGTGACTGGCTCAAAATCATCTCATGAGCTGAGTTGGGGTTTGAACCCTAGTTTCCCAGGTCCTGGTATTGCATTTTAACCACTACACCACAGAGGCTCTTTAAGTACTGGGTGAGGAGAAGCTATTGCAGGGGAAGACAGCCAAACTATTGTAGACGGGCATGGACGATACCATGCAAAAGCAGTTGTGGGGTGTCATAGTCATCATGTACTAAACATAGTGCACCCTGTGCACGAAAGCCAGAATTAATTTTTACTCCAAAACTCACTGTTGTGCATGTGTAAAAAGGTAAAGGTAAAGGTACCCCTGCCTGTACGGGCCAGTCTTGACAGACTCTAGGGTTGTGCGCTCATCTCACTCTAGAGGCCGGGAGCCAGCGCTGTCCGCAGACACTTCCGGGTCACGTGGCCAGCGTGACAAAGCTGCATCTGGCGAGCCAGCACAGCACACGGAACGCCGTTTACCTTCCCGCTAGTAAGCGGTCCCTATTTATCTACTTGCACCCGGGGGTGCTTTCGAACTGCTAGGTTGGCAGGCGCTGGGACCAAGCGACGGGCGTGCACCCCGCCACAGGGATTTGAACCGCCGACCTTTTGATCGGCAAGTCCTAGGCGCTGAGGCTTTTACCCACAGCGCCACCCACGTCCCTTTTTGTTGTGCATGTGTACCTGATTTTTTTAAAAAAAGTGCCGTATTTATTAGCGCTCACCATTTTTTCTGTGACACATTTGTCTTTCTTGGTGATTTCCAAGTTGTTTTAGCATTTCCACTAATCATGTCTTCCAATTAAAAACAGCTTCACCCAGCCCCAGATGTCACAGCGTGAACTTTGCTCAGTTGACCATTTATCTCCATTTATGCTCCCCGCTGTTTTTGCTCTCTCCTCCTGCTCTGACTTTTATAAAGGCTTAGCCTTATTTGTACGCGGAGGACCAGAGAGGAAAATAATCAGCCTACAGACAGGCAATGGGGGGGGAGGGGCAAACAGCCCTGGAGGTGGCTTTGCAGTACCAGAAAGCTGGAGTGGGACGTTTCTCAGCTGTTGGTGGATTTTATTACTGCAAAAGAGGCGGTCTGTGGAATGAAAGATCCTTCCTAATTAACAGGAGCCTCTCACTATTTATGCATTAAATTATTGTGTGGATTTCTCTCCCAACTTTCTCAATGAAACGGAAAAGTGAGTTCCAATATAAAGGCACAATGAAATTGTAGAAAGCTCCAATGCAGCCCTACATTAAAAGCCCTGCAGTAGTCAATGCTCTAGAGGTTACCAGAGCACAGATAACTGTGACCAGGTTGTCTCTGTCCAAGAAAAACAGCAGGTTGAGAATCACTGGGCTTCTTATGCTTCAGTCTTACCGTATTTTTCGCCCTATAGGACGCACTTTTTCCGCTCCAAAAATGAAGGGGAAATGTGTGTGCGTCCTATGGCGCGAATGCAGACTTTCGCTGAAGCCTGGAGAGCGAGAGGGGTCGGTGCACACCAACCCCTCTCACTCTCCAGGCTTCAGGAGAGCCCCACCGCCAGCCCCACCAGCTCAGGGGACAGTGGGGAGGCGCAGCGCGCCATCCCGCTGTCTCCCAACGTGGTTTGGAGGCTGGCGGCGGGGAGACGTGTGCTTCCTATGGGCCGGTGCGTCCTATAGGGCGAAAAATACGGTAATCTTTTAGGGAAGGCAAAGAGGACCTGTGGCCCTCCAGAGGTTGTGGTGGTTGTTTTCATAGCAAAGTTTCCCCCCCCCCAAATAACTCTTTTCAGTTGAAACAGAGTATCTTTACAGAAAATGGCCCAAACCTGTTATTCTAAAAACAAAACACAAACAAACCTTGCAGGGAATTTAGAGTCATTTCTGTGGACAGAAGAAACAACAGACAACACTCAACAAATATCTGACAAGGAAAACAAGCGGAGCCAGGTGTTTCTGGGGGAAACCTAGTAAACTTACATTGCCAAAATATCTATCCAGTAGCTCTACATAACGATGGACAACTTCTAGGGTCAAGAGTTCGTTATCCTGCTCTTCAACTGCACAGCAGAAATATAAACTAGCGTACCTGAAATTTAAAAATATGAAAATATATTGAGACCTATCAGCATTAATATTCACGCTCTTTACACGGTCAGTTACCCTGAAATACTTTTTTCCCCGGTTGCTTTTTCACATAATGAGACAATTTATCTCAAAAGCAAGGAGAATAGCCCTTAATTAATTAGGCCTTTTATATAAATCCATCTGACTTCCTTGCCAGCACTAATGAAAATGACAGGATGAACATCATTTCAGATATGCAAACGTGGGCAGTTTTTGGTGCAATAATCAGAAGTAATGATAATGGAATTGGAAATAAAAGCTTGGTTTTTATCACATAAATCTCTCACAGCTCTGCATCTGATGCTATTATAATTGTGTTCCTTTTTGTTACGCTTTCATACAGGCCAGGTATTATATCTTCTCCTTTTCTCAAAGGCACAGGTGGAAGGGAGTAATGGTCACTGTGCATATAGATGCTGGGGTGCAACTTGCCCACACAGCCTCATAACTGTTCTCACCAGTGCTTTTTTTTCCTGGGGGGGGGGATGCAGGGGTACGCAAACCCCTAAACATTTTGTGAATCAAAGTTTGGCCTCATTGCGGGGCAGTATTTCAATATGAGTAGGGAAATGAGAGTACCCCTAAACATTTTTTTGCGGGGGGGTGGGGGTGGGAGCTCTGCTCCTCACACATCTTTTCTATGACCTTAAGCCTGGATACAGACAACAGCTGTTGAAAGAACTGAAGGCTGTGTCACAGAAAAACATTTCCCCCTTGTTACAAGCACTGACGTATGGATTTTCTATCCCGTTATAGGAGGGAAGGGGAACATTTTTTAATTCAAGGGCCACATTGCCTCATGGGGGCGGGCCTTCTGAGGGCCACATGTCAGTGGTGGGTGTGGCAAAAGTAGGAAAGGCCGGACAGCACCACTCTCTATTTTCCATTCTGCAAGCAAGAGTGATCACGGTTCAAGGACACATTCCAGCCAGGCAGAATAGCTAGAGGAAGGTGCCCAGCAGGGTCAGTGAGGGATGCAGCCTGAGCCAGGTCCTGACGGTAGGGCAGAGAGGCTAGAGAGCTGATTTGGCCCTGGGCCTATTGCCCACCCTGCTGCATTACACAATACGGACACAAAACTTTTATACGTTTTTGTAGTGCTCCATACTGAGGACCAAACTCCAAATTATATTAAATATGTCCTTTTCCTTGTGGGTCTGGTTTTCCCTTTCAAAATAGCATATGGAGGAGGGGTGTTCATGGATCAGATCCATTTAGGAGTGCGTTTAACTTGTCTTTTTCTGCACAATCACCCTGACAAATTCAACCACCCCCCATCTCACTGCTGGAGAATAAACACCAGAGAATAAACAACAGTTTCCTCAGTCTTCATCCCACCCCCAACCCCCGAATTAGAAAGCAACACAGGGCAAAAAACTGTGTTTACCAAAAACCTGTTAATTTGGCCCTAACATATGAAGGGGATTGATCTGTTTTATAGCCACAAGCAACAATGGTCTTATATCGCCTTCAAGGTTTCGCCAAGCTATGATCTTCCAAACGTTCTTTCACACACAATGTTCAGAAAGGCAGCTTCAGAAAGTTTGAACATTTCTGTACTTTCCTTTAAAACTGGGACAGCCTCCAGCATTCAGAAATACCCAGTGGAACAATACAGAAGAAGATCAATGCACTGGCATCCCATGAAAATCATTGCGAGTCCAGCACTTAATGGCAACTCTTGATGTCCATTCATTTAAAAGGCACATCAGTAGATTTTATTATCTCAGGGAGGTGCTCTCCATGTTCACTCCTCATCTCAAATGCTGGCTCCAATTAAGTGATTTAAAGCAGGAGGGGGGGGGGACCCGAGGCCCGGGTGCAAAATGTGGCCTTTTTTTAAATCTGGCCCTTGGGACTCTCTCCATATCATGCCCCCTCCCTGGGTCATCCTGCCAGAGGATGTCAATGCACCTCCTCTAGCCAAATTAGTTGGCTCCAGCTTCAATTTCCTGTTTAATGCTTCATTCCCTTGATGCATCTGCCACCCCCACTATCTTGAATAATGCTCCTTAAAATTAGAACTATAACTGGGATGCAGCCCTCCAGACCTCTTTCTCTGGCCCTTGGGACTCTTCTCTCCCAAACCACATGCCTCCCCAGCCCTACTTTGCACCCTCAAGTGTTTCTGCATGGCTGGAATGTGTCCTTGAAATCCCGATTGTGCCTTTTGCTTGCCTGGGTGCAGGACAGAGGTGTGTGAGAGTTTGCATAGAAACTAGCCTAACATATTTACATTTATTGCTCCACTATCAACTTCTGCCTCTGGTCCCATCCATTGGCATGCAGCCCCCAGAAGGTTGCCCAGAATGGACAGTGGCTTCTGGGCTGAAAAATATCCCCAGCCCAGTGTAAAACCTTAATCCTTTGATATAAACAAGCATGTCATGTTTCTTATGACAGGAATTAGTGGAATTCACTGGGCACGGGCTTCCTTCAAGAGATCATGCCTGCTGCCTTTTTTCTCTTTCTTTCCTACTAGTGGTAAGTACTACAGACATTTTGAATGGTGTTCCTCTTGTTTGGCAGTTCACTCCGCCAACGCAAACTAGATTGATTTTGTTTTGTTGTTACTTTGTGCTGCTTCCATGTGAAGCGACATGCTTTGTGTAAAAAGCCGACTTGTAAAACTACTCACACCTTTTGTAAACAAGCTTGAGGTCTTTCCAGTCAACAAAACTGCTCATTTTCTGGTTGCGAGACAAAATAATCTGCACAATTTCTCGGGTGATCTTTTTCTTCTCTTTTTCAGGCAGTGTAATAAACCATTTCTGGAGTCTTAATTTCCCTTGCCGGCTGAAGAGCAGTATAAACTGCATCTAGAGTAAAGAAAACCATTTGGGGTAATATTGAGACAAAGACCAACACAACTTGCATTAACGAAACTGCATTTGAGTGAAAATATCTGCCCTGTTATCAAGGAAAACACTTAAAGTTCAGGAAATGATGAATAATAATGGTTTCAAGAGAACCTAGGGTTGCCCTGGGCTGGTTCAGGTGTAATGTTAAATCATAGCAGAGATTGCGTACTTTAACCAAACGCAACTAGCTGTCTTCCTGAACTTTTAAACAAGCAATTGTCATGTGTTGTGCAAGTTCAGCTACATTTGGTTGCTTCCAGTCAGGGCCATGTCAGTAGTCCTTCAAAAGATCTTCAGCTTATCGTTTTCCCATGTAACCAACTGTGCTGTTTTTTTATACAGGCTGTAGGCGAAGATCCTGCAATGGCCTTATTTATCAGGTTCATGCCTGCAGTAACCAAACACCACTATAAAAGAACAGAAAAACAGTGCATACCTGTGACTGCTGAACACACCTATCTGGGTAAACCCAAATATCCCCAATGCAAACACTGCAATTATCAAAAGATGACGCCAGATTTTGAACAGGATTGTACAGAACACACCTCAGTCAGAGTGGAGTGGGCCACCTAAAGTTGCAGGATTTGAGATTTCATTGAATGCATTTTATTTAATATACATTTAGCACTATGGACGATGCCACTTTCTTCTCCAAGAGCAACATATCTTGCATGACTTCCCAAGTCATGACCCATCATAATTATGTACAAAAAAATAGCAAATATTTTGTATCTGTTAATCCCTTTTCTGCTTGCAAAAAGGTCTGTGTGTTATACATTGGGATTGTCCACTTACCAAAGCACTTTGGAGTTAAGTTGATTGCGACTGGCTCAAGGTCATGCAATAGGTTTCATGGCTAAGCGGAGACACTGGCTGTTACATGACATTAACCAGGAATGGGAACCTGTGGCCCTCTGTCAGACTGCAACTTCCATTTGCTCGCCAACACGGTCAATGGCCATGATGGGAGTTGTTGTCCAACAACAACAACTGGAGGATCATAGGTTCCCCATCCCTAATGTAGATTTTATTCCAAGGATGGGAAACTCTTCCAACCTGGCAGGCTGGATCCTTATCTCCACAAGCTCCGTGGGCCACCCATCAATCACCAAATGTCCTTATGACGGCAGGTGACAACAAACCTTTTGAAATGTGTTTCCATGCGGTTTATATTGAAGTGAAGGCTGTAAGTTTCCCTGTCTCTCACTCTCTTTCACATACAACACCAGGGACAAGACAAGTGGGTGTGGTTTATGGAAATAACCAAGTGGGCCAAGTCTAATGATGACAAAGGTCACAATCTGCTCCAAGATGAACAAAGCGTGTTAAGTTGTGGGCGGACATAGCAGACGACACAGCGATTTCTCCAAAGCAGCTCTTTATTTTGTAAGCTGGAACAGAACTGAGCAGCAAACAGCTCAGCCGGCCTGCCTAAAATAACTGATGTGGACCTGAGTGAAAACTATCTACAGTATCCCCCTGCTGGCCCAGGGTGAGAACTTCAGTACATAACAAAGCACATGACTTGAGATTTTCTCAGCTTTTCAGAAAGACAGACAGAATTACTGTAGCTACATATAACAGGAAGCCCATCTGAAGAGGGTGTGCCCACTTCCTGCTTCCTGATCTACTGCAGATACCCATAAATCCCTGTCTATCTTCCGCTCAGTCCCGAGTTCAAAGACACCAGTAGCATAGGCCTCAAGAGTTCTTGGCAGTCTTCAGTTTGTATTGTGCTCTAGGCCACAGTCTTCCTGGGCCGCCGAGCAAAAGTTTCTGTTGATTTAAAGAACTGAGTCACTTTGGGTTTAGTGACATCTCGTCCGTTCAACAATATTTCTCAGCCTGAGGCGATCGATGCATGGTCCAAGAGGAAAGGTTCAAAGCAGCGAACAAGAGAACACAGTGTGCTTTCCTGTTCCCTCTCCTAGCGTGCATCACAGTGACATAATTAAAAGGGAGATACAAGTGGCTTAATTAAGTAACAGTTGTCAAAATTAATTTGGGCTCCTGGCTCTCAGTCAGATTGCTCATCCAGCTACACGGGATACTTCACCTTGCGTCTCTGAAACAGAAGTAACGCTATCTGCTTGCAATATGCTGTGTATATGGAAGGTGGGTGGTGAGAGGAGGAAGAGAGCATAAGAGACACTTGTTGCCATGGGAGACACACAGCAGCTACTTATAGTAAAGCCACCAGGGCAGCAAAAAATTCAAGGTTTTTGTTGTTGCTGTTAACACTATTTTTTTCTCCAGATCATTTCACATTATTAGTACAAGCAGCACATCAGCAAGCTCTAAAGGCAGGACTAGAATTTTGTTATCCCTGCTACGCGACAAGTTATTTTTATATTTTTCCAGCCCCACATTCAGCAGCGTAAGATTTTCAGAAGCATTCCATCTGCTGGGGGAAGTGGCCAGCCTTAGAATGATCGCCAACATTCTGACTTTGTAGGTTGAAGTGAAAGAGTCAATAGCTATGGAAACCCTCCTAGAGCATAGGGTCAAGATCAGCAGTCATGGCAAGAGAAGAAGAAGGAGGCCTGAATAGGTCAGTGGAACGGTGACAAGGGCAGCAAGAACCAGTGCACTTATCCTCAAAATCCCCCTTGCATATTAATTTAAGAAACTGTATTAATGCCTGAAGAGGGCTTGGAAGCCATGTGTTGTAATGAGAATGCACTACAGTGAGCCTCTCCTGGGAGGGGAAGAGAACGAAAGCATCCATCTGGGATTTGTAACAAGCATCAGTTTTCCATTATGTCCAAACAAAGAAAACTTCAATTTTCACAGGCAACAGTTATTAACAAGCCAGGATATCACTCCAGGAGCAAACTGTGGTTTCCTGGTTTCCTACTTAAACACAGGCTTTCCTACTTAGACACAGCAAAGAAGCATTTCAATTAAACACATTTTAGACTTTGTATGAAAACTTGTGTTGGCCAAAACGGAACTCCACTGCGCCATCTGGTGTCACAGTGTTATAATGCATATAAAAAGCCTTTTCTTTACCAATCTAGCCGAGTCCATAGTTTGCGCAAACCACGGTTTCCTGCATTTGTTTGTAGTTTTTGTGCTTTTGTCCAAACTGCAAGTGGAAGTCTCAGCTCTTCTCCCCCTTGTATGTAAAAGGGGGGGGGGGGGACAGGAAAGTCTGAAGCTCACCACAGCATGTTCTTATAACAACAACATCAGAGTTGATCTTTATGTCTGAATGAAGCTTAAATCAGGACAACACACACCAAAGCAGGGGCTTAAGGAAATAGCAAGAAGGGAGTGAAGAGGCAAAGGAAAGTGGCATACCTATATCAGAGAGATATAGGTTTGCCAGGCTCACAGCTTTGAAGAACCCTGATCTACAGGAGTGTGCTCACATCAGCGCCTTAGAGCACAGTGGAGATGTGTGCGTTTTTAGTGTGTTTCACAGTTTCCCCTTCCCAGCTGCTCAAATCAGTGCAACTTCGCTAGTGTTGGATTAGTTTTCGTTAGTGCTGACAGTGGGGATTGTCTGACCTTACACACAACTGTTCACACCTTAGCTAGAGATGCATTTGGAACAGCTTATAAGGACCCCAATCAGCATGAAGCCAGATTGAGAAGCAACGTATCAGATAGTAAGGTAAAGGGTAAAGGTACCCCTGCCCGTTCGGGCCAGTCTTGCCAGACTCTAGGGTTGTGCGCTCATCTCACTCTAGAGGCCGGGAGCCAGCGCTGTCCGCAGACACTTCCGGGTCACGTGGCCAGCGTGACAAGCTGCATCTGGCGAGCCAGCGCAGCACACGGAACGCCGTTTACCTTCCCGCTGGTAAGCGGTCCCTATTTATCTACTTGCACCCGGAGGTGCTTTCGAACTGCTAGGTTGGCAGGTGCTGGGACCGAACGACAGGAGCGCACCCCGCCGCGGGGATTCGAACCGCCGACCATGCGATCGGCAAGTCCTAGGCGCTGAGGTTTTACCCACAGCGCCACCCGCGTCCCCGTATCAGATAGTATTTTATATCAAAGTGCAAGATACATATGCAGCATTGTGAACATGGATTTAAAACCCAGCGCTAGAAACACAGTGAGTACAAAATAAATCCTTCAAAACAACTGGTTCCTGAAATTCATTCTGATTGCGCAGATAAAATATAACAGATAAAGTTCTACAGGATGCGTTGTTAGTGTGTGGAAACAGTTAAGATCCAAGGATACCCAGGCATGCACCTCCAGACGGTAGAGGCATCAGGCACCATTTTAGCTCCTGGGTATTTTCACTTGTTAACAAGTGGCCGATAGCCAGGTGCAAAATGCTCCTGGCGCCTGGCAAATTTTGGGGTGTAATGTTCTGCACCCCCTCCATGAAAGGCTCTAGGTGTAAATATATGTAAAATAAGCCATATTTCTTAAAGGCCTCCACTGTGCCTTCATTTCCCAACAGAGACACAACTTTGGGTGAGCACCTGGAACCCTCTGGATTCCTGCTACCGCTTCACATATATCATATTTGCTTTTTTAAAAAGCTCTTGCCTACCTGCAAAGTCTGACCTTCCTCTCCTACCCAACCCACCTTCACTGGCTGATCTGGTGCATGACTTGGGCCTCCTCAAAAAGGGTCAGGCTCAGTAACAGAATAATTTTTTTATTAGATAATGTTTCCATGACAGAGTGAAGGACAAGCAATGGAGAAGAGCACAACATTCCCGTGGAAACTGGGTACACGCAAGGGGAATCAACAGCTGGGATATAGCAAGGCATGTGGCTCCCTTCCAGGGAAGGTCATACTAAATGCTGCAAAACCCTTGAGAAAAGCAAAGAAGCCATTTGGCTGGCAGCAAAACCTCACACAGGGCCCAGGGACGAGGGGGGACTGTATGTCGCCTGCAGCGACAGGAAGACAGAAGTTAGCAAAGCAAAATCAAGAACAACAGGCAAATGAACATATGCTTTGATATATTAGAGGGGTTTTAAAATAAAAGAGCCGTATTGATCCAAGGACACAGTAAATTCAGATAATAAATTGTTCCAGATAACAAAGGATCAGATCATTGCAACTACATTATATACAGACTGCCATTGCTGTATCGCACTACCTAGCAGGAACTGTTTTATTCAACAGGGTTAAGCTGTCCTTCCATCTCTCCTGCTGCCACACATACACCTTTCCCCCCCTATTACGGTATGTTCCTGTTCTGTAATCTCTCCTGCAGAGATTGCATGTACCCTGGAGCTAAAGGGCCATGTCTTCTTGTCAATCTAAATTTATTTGAATAATCAAAGGGCAGGCAGCTGATATGTAAAAGAGCAAACAACTACCTAATATAAAGCTGTGAATTATCAAGCAGGCAGACCAAAAGGGTTTTCTCCAGCCTTTCCCTAAATGAAATTTATATTAAGACAAATCTCCATGTTCTGTACCACTGACTACCTGGTGCTGTAAGCAAACAGGACGAGGAGAAGGCCTGATTTTTCTCCTCTCCTTGGTTGACTAAGGTTTGAGGATGGAGCCTGATACAAAAGACACTTCTACACAGTGTTGGTGGACTACAACTTCCATCATCCATAGCTGGCAAGACCAGTGGTCAGGTATGATGGGAGTTGTAGTCCAACAACAGCTGGGGATCCAAGTTTGAGAAACACTGGAAAAACAGAGATGGGCAACCAAAATGACCGTGAGGCTGGAACTGCTTGTGAGGAAAGGTTTGGAGTTTTTTGGGGGGGGCGGGAATATTAGTTTAGGGGTGGGGAAAATGAGAGTAAGGGCAACTATGAATGACATGTATACATTATGAACAGTTTGGAGAAAATTAAACTATGGACATTGCTCCCACATGATGCAGGGATGGCTCTATAGACAAAAGAATAAGGATACCTGTGGCTATCTGTGGCTGCAATAACTATATTCTGTTTCCACTGTCATAGGCAGCATGCCTCTGAATATCAGAATTTCTCATCACGGGACAATGCGGGAGTGCTTGTGAGCTTCCCACAGGTCAGCCACTGTGAGAACAGGATGCTGGACTAGATAGGTCATTGGTCTGATCCTGCAAGGTTCTTCTGATGTTCTTATAACCATGAGGATATAAACATTGCTTAACCAACAACCTGATCCTATGCATGCTTCCTTGGCACCAAGTTCCCAATAAGTTCAATGGTTCTCACTCTCAAGTGGAAATACAGTGGTACCTCTGGTTGCAGATGGGGTCCATTCCAGAAGTCCGGTCAGATCCCAAGGTTGCCGCAACCTGAGGGTCTATCACTTCTGTGCATGCACACATGGCAAAACCCGGTAAAATACTTCCGGGTTTGCTGCGCGTGCATCCCGAAGTTTACGTAACCAGAGGGTTACGTAAAGGGAGGTTTGACTGTAAATCTCTTGCTACATCTCTCCAGAAAATGTCTGGGATTGCTTTAGTCTCCCCTGAGGCTTGCCTTTCCAAAAAGAGTCAATGCTCTATAAGGCAACATGCGCATTTTGATTTATTTTACTTTAATAAAAGTTTACGTGTCTGTAAAATTTCAACGTCCACATTAGAACAAAACCTTTATTAGGATGAGCTAAGTGTCACAAAATAGCCTGCAAGCTTTGGGGTTCGCCAGAACTTTTCATCAGGCTAGATCAGGGGTGGGGAAGTTTTCTTTGACCTACCTCATATGCCAACCTTGACAGGAGGACAAGACAACCCACCTGTCAACCACTTGGCATTGTTATGAGGTCACCTGAGAGGGATTGCCCCACCCACCTGTCAAAATCCCTTGTGAGAGATTCCCAAGCATCTGTCAGCCAGCTGGCTGCCAGGCGCATGGGAACCACAGTGCAGGAGGCCCCATGCCTGGCACTTTGGGAAGTGCTGAGCATAGGGCTGGCAAAGTGCTTCATTCTCCCCTCCCTGTCACTCCCATCTTGTCACTCCTTCTTAAAATCTACCCAGATGCAGACATGGATAGCTTGACTAAAACCAACCACCTTTTTCTCACACCTTTGCATTCTGTCAACATCTAGCCAGATCAAGAGTTCTATTAAAAAACCCACAAACCCACCCAAAACTTGAAAGCTTTCACACTATTTTGGTGACATTTTGGTTGCCCTAATATAGTAGTAATAATAATAATAATAATAATTTATTATTTACACCCCACCCATCTGGCTGGGTTTCCTCAGACACTCTGGGCGCCTTCCAACAAAAGATTAAAAATACATTAAAACATCAGTCATTAAAAACTTCCCTAAACAGGGCTGCCTTCAGATGTCTTCTAAACGTCAGATAGTTGTTTATTTCTTTGACATCTGATGGGAGGGCATTCCACAGGGTAGGCGCCACTACCAAGAAGGCCCTCCCTGGTTCCCTGTAACTTCACTTCTCGCAGTGAGGGAACCGCCAGAAGGCCCTTGGCGCTGGACCTCAGTGTCCAGGTTGAACAATGGGGGTGGAAACGCTCCTTCAGGTATACTGAAGGTATACAGACTTTGTGAATCTTCCCTACAGACCAACATGAGCACCTTTCTTCTTCTATATGTTTGTAAAGTTTCACACAGTTGTTTGGAAGCTTTCAGTCTGAGTTATCAATAGTTTCAAGTGGGTGGGGTTTTTTTCAAAAAGGTTTTGTTTTGATGTTTTATGCAACAACCAGTGATCAGCAAAGTCTTAGGAAACTTTCCTACAAGTTCACTTTCCTGAAAGCATTGTGCTACGTTGCCCAGAGATAAGCAGATGAAATGAGAAATCCATGTGTTTGAACTGGACCTGGAAGGCTTGGGTTCAAATATTAGCTTAGGTATGGAGTCGCTCAAGAAATATGTGCTTCTCAGAGGAGAGTACACATTTACAACAGCAAAACACAAAGGCTGCTGTTTTTGACAAGAGCCCCATGCAGTGCTTTTTTTTCTTTTAAAAAGTGTTTAGGGGTACTCTCATTTTGACTCAAGGAAAATCACTATTTTATAGTTCAAATCGGGGAAAATAATGACAGTAAATGGACAAAAGTACAAAGATTCACAAAATGTTTAGGGGTATGCGTCCCCCTGTGTCCCCCCAGAAAAAAAGCACTGGCCTCATACCATATGCTCCCTCTCTATGACATTGATTGATTGCATTGCATTTATACCCCCTTGCCCACCCCTAATGAGCTGAAGGAGGCACATGGTTCACCCTTCTGCAGGTATTTCCCGCTACAACCCTGTGAGGTAAGCAAGGCAGAGAGGCTGTGACCGGCCCAAGGTCACCCAGTGAGATTCATAATTAAGTGGGGATTTGAACCCTGGTCTCCCAGGTCCTAGGGACACCTGTGGGCTGTGGATTAAACCACAGAGCCTAGGACTTGCCGATCAGAAGGTCGGCGGTTCAAATCCCCACGATGGGGTGAGCTCCCGTTGCTCAGTCCCTGCTCCTGCCCACCTAGCAGTTCGATTCGAAAGCACGTCAAAGTGCAAGTAGATAAATAGATACCGCTCCGGCAGGCAGGTAAACGGCCTTTCCGTGCGCTGCTCTGGTTCACCAGAAGCAGCTTAGTCATGCTGGCCACATGACCTGGAAGCTGTACGTCAGCTCCCTCGGCCTATAAAGCGAGATGAGCACCGCAACCCCAGAGTCGGTCACGACTGGACCTAATGGTCAGGGGTCCCTTTACCTTTACCTCCCAGGTCCTAGTCTGGCAGTCTAATCACTCTGCCACACTAGCTCTCCATGCCATAAAACACATCATAAAATGTAGCCCATGTCCCGATTTCATCACACAATGCTTTGCCCCATATCTTTGGCAGCTACTTAAGGACGGGGAACATTTAGAACACAACTAATGGGATAAGGAGTTGACGCAGGGTTGATGCATACAGAAAATAAATATATGGTTCTTTGTAAATCCTCCCCTCTAGCCTCAGCTAACCTGTCACAGATTCTGGAGTCACACTGGACTTCTGGAACACCCAGTGGCAAAGAGTTTAAACACAACCCTGGGTGATTCCCGGCAGTAGGAAAGGTAGAAGCAGCTTAGTGAGGCAGGATGGTGTCTTCCTCCCCACACAAATTGCATCAGCAACCACTGCTATCCGATTTACATCCAAGGTCTGCAGAGTTTTGGGCCATGGGGCTGGAAACCTAAGAAACTGTCATGGACACCAGAAAAATACCCATTTCACAGAAGAACAAATGGATGATGCTTAGACCGTCCCACACACACTTCAAAAAGCAACAAGAAACATACCTATACATGCCCCCCCCAACAAAACCCCACAAGGACCAAACAGCCAAGTGTCCCCCCAACCAAACCACACAAAAGCCAAAAACTGGGAGAGACACCACTTTGGGACTTCAGGCCTACATGTAACAGCAGAGAGGGCCCATTGTTCAGTGGTGAAACACACAGAAGGTCCTGAGATCAATTGCTGACATCTCCAAGTAGAGAGAAACTGCTGCTTGAGGCCTTGTAGAGCTGCTGCCAATCGGTACCCACCAGGGATGGAGAAGCTGTGGCCCTCAAGAACTTGTTGGACTACTTCTCCACTCAGCCCCATCAACAGCAGAGTCAATGGTCAGGGATAAGGAGTCCAGCAACATCTGGAAGGACCAGATGTATAGGGCAGGCCTAGGCAAACTCGGGCCTCCAGATGTTTTGGGACTACAACTCCCATGATCCCTAGCTAGCAGGACCAGTGGTCAGGGATGATGGGAATTGTAGTCCCAAATGAACATCTGGAGGGCCGAGTTTGCCTAGGCCTGGTATAGAGGATTCCCAGCTGTTGCTGGACTACAATTCCCATCATCCCCAGCTAGCAGGACGAGTGGTCAGGGATGATGGGAGTTGTAGTCCAACAACAAGTTTGAGAAGCACTGAGCTAGATGAACAAATGATCTGGCTTGCTATCAGGCAGCTTCGCAACCAGAGGAAAGTGATTGCCTTCTCTCCCATTCCTAACCGTGAAAGAGGAGAAAGAAGGAAGCTGTCGTATACTGGCTGGCTGGTAGCATTCCATGATTTCAGACTGGGGACATTCCCAGTCAGACCAGGAGATGGGACCTGGGGCCTTCTATACGCACAGCAGGTGTTCTACGACTGAAGAGAAGTGCATGGATTAAATCTCTTGGAAAGCCATCACCAGGCTGCTGATTTAGAAAAGCAAATAAGTTGGCTCCACCCAGCCTCCCATTGATTTGGTATTTTAGATAAAACTACTCACATTACCATTAATTGAAGGGCCTGTTTGAACTACACAAAGCAAAGTCAATATGAAAAGGGAGAGGGAGAGAGGCAAGTGAAACCACATGCAAATCGAGGGTCAAAATCCACCTGACAATAAGCCTACAAAGGAAATGTACTACACATACCAGTGAAGTAGATAGGCCACGGGGTCACCCATTAAGAATGGAACCAAGAGGAACCTGATTTCAGCTCAGGAATGTCGTCAGGCACCCTAAACTCTTGGCCACCTCATTCGTTGCTCAACAGATTAGCTCTTTTACTTGTTCTTTTACTTGAGCAGTATTAATGCATTGGCCCAGTTCTGCCCGCCAACCTTCGCAGACAAAATGGATTTTAGTTTTAGCGGATAACTAAACCACATCTGCTCAGAAGTCAGACCCAGGTAAGTGGGGTTAGGGTTGCATCTGGAATCAGAGGATCGCCACAGAGGTCCATACTTTGAAGGATCCCCTCTGCGGGTTAAATGCAGGCCACAGCATACCACAAGCAGAAGCTCAGAGTGAATGAGGAGCCACCACACCAAGGTGCATGCAAATCAGACAGGTGTAGATGTCTCAAGCCAGTGAGACAAGGCACATGGCACCACTGTCAGAAAACTCTTCGAGGTTGTGAGGCATTTCTAGCTAGAAGAAGGTTCCTTTCTGACCTGTGATGATTTCCCAAACCCAGATAGTGAAATAAGACCTTCCCAATTAACCCCACTCCCAACCAGGGAAGTTTTATTGCAATAAATTCCTGTTTCTTTATATTGCAGTTTCTAGTGTCCCAAAGTACAAAGAGAATAAAATAACCCACCCAAACCTTAGCTGGAGAGGGGGAGAAACCCTTTGCTAACTTTTTTTTCTAACATAGGTGTGGCATTCCCCTGCTCTTCATACCTGCATGATAGACAGAAACCTGTCAGGTACAGCTTTCACCATCCCTGTACAGTGATACCTCGGGTTACATACGTTTCAGGTTACAGACTCCACTAACCCAGAAATAGTACCTCGGGTTAAGAACTTTGCTTCAAGGATGAGAACAGAAATCGTGCTCTGGCGGCGCCAGTGGAAGGGAATGGGGGCTGGGCTTGAACACAGAAACTGGGTGCGGTGGTCCCGGTTCCTGCAGCACTTGGCTCTTATCTCCATGCCCCCTTGACCCTGAACCAGCAACAGGTGGAGGAAGATATGCGCCAGCCAACTCCTGCCCTCTCCTCTCTTGCAATGTCAGAAAGGGAGAGAGCGCGCGTTCAATACCCGCGCAAGGAAAAAAACGCGGAAAGGGGGGGGGGTCGCTTAACTCTATAATAGCCGGTTCAAGACCAGAAAGAGAGAAAAGCCCCCTGGGCAACCGACCGACTCATCAACCTCTGCAAACTTTGCGTCCTGTTGCCGTTTCCTTGCAAAAAAAAAAGGAGCAGGAAAAGCCCAGCAGATGTTCTGTGCGCTTTTCAAGGGCGAGCCTTGCCCGACCTGCCTCTCTGCTGCGCGGAGGCTGCTTCACCTGGCGCCAGCAGGTAGTTCCTCCTCCTGGCTCCCCGGAGCCCCGGAGCTGTGTCAGCCCAACCAACCCCGCGCTCCCCCTCGGGGGTACTCACCATGGCTGCCAGAGAGCCGCTCCCCACCCCGGGTGGCTCCAAGCCCCGTGCCCTGTGCGGGTCTTCCCCCCTCCCCCCCGCAGGCACAGGTGAACTCCCAGCCGCTCGCCCTGCTTTCCCATAATGCCCTAAACTGAAAGTTATTAACTCCTCCCCACCCCACTCCTCCTCCTCCTCCTCCTCCTCCCCCTCCCGGGTCACTCCGGCAACAGCCCCAGGGGCGGGTTGGAGAGGTCGCTTTGCGCCGAGTGAGTTTCGCGGGGAGAGGATCTCTCCTCCCCTTACTTGGGGACTGGCGCTCTCTAAGCGGAAAGATAAGAGTCTCCGGAGAGTTTTCCTCCTACCTGAGCAATGCTGCTATTCTCGAGCGCTTTGCAGGAGAACAGAAGGAGCAAAAGGTTGGGTCTCGGCCCCGAGGAGACTGCAGTCGTGCGTTCTACTTGTCTCCTTTGGGGAGAAAGTTATAGGAAAAGAAGTAGCCGTAACGAAGAGATGGAAAACATAAGTACAGCATCTCCCACTTGTTCCGAATCAGGATATTGGTCCACATAGCTCATTGTTGTCTACAGGGCTCTCCAGGATTTCAGATAGGGGCTTCTCCCAAACAGGGGTGCCAACTTGAATAAAAATATTGTGCATGTATCATTATGCCCCGCATAATCTTTTTTTTAAAAAAAGAAATTTATTTATTTGGTTTTTTCAGATTGAAATTTTACAGTCACATATACAACATAAAAACTAGATTCCAAGGAATCTCTTGGACTTCCCTCCTCCCCTTTGTGGATCCTACTGTTACTTATTTCCTCCTGCATCTTTTATAATACAGATCTTTTATCTCTCCATTGTATCCAAAATTCACCTTTAAACTACAAGTGATATTCCAATCCTACTAACGATTTTAACTGTTTACAATGGTCTTTAAGATAAGTTATAAATTTTCCCCATTCATTATTAAACTTTTGGTCTTCCTGATTTCTGATTCTATGGGTCATTTTAGCCATTTTGGCAGAATCCATCTACTTGATCTGCCATTCTTCTCTGATAGGGACTTTATCTGCTTTCCATCTCTGGACCAGTAACATCTGTGCATAATCGATCGCATGACGCAGTGCACACACACACAATGGGAATGGAAATGTCCATCAACTTTGTGGGGGCCAGTCCCTGCAAATATTTTATTGTGGGGGCCAAAGCGCCTACAGCCCCTAGGAGTTAGTTCCTATGCCCTCAAGCCTGAAGATGCTCTGTGTGTGTGTGTGTGTGTGTGTGTGTGTGTGTGTATTCCATTTAATATTATACATTCACATCATCATTATCCACTTTACTGCTTTGGCACTTTAGAGCCTATCAACTTCCTTCCCTCCTGCCTCATGGCTTTCAAAATTAACCTTTATAATTCATTGCATTTTGTACATTTTTCAATTCTAATTACACTCATTACAAAATGGCTCAACATTTAAATAAATATAGAAAGACAGAAAATTTCTTGTTACAAGTCTTCAGACAACCCTGCTAGCGATGTTAATTGCTTACAATAATCTTTCAGATATCGTATAAATTTACTCCAGTCCTTTTGGAATACTTGATCATGCTGGTTTTGGATTTTTCCTGTCAGCTTCGCCAGTTCTGCAAAGTCCATCATCTTCATCTGCCACTCTTCTTTCGTTGGTACTTCTTGTTTCCATTTTTGGGCTAAAAGAATTCTTGCCGCAGTTGTTGCATACATAAACAGTCTTTTATCTTCCCTTGGTATCTCTTCATTCACTATACCCAGTAAAAAGGCTTCTGGTTTTTTAACAAAAGTATTTTTAAACATTTTCTTTAGCTCATTATATACCATTTCGAACCTGGGACTTTCAGCTTGCTGCTTTGCATGTTATGCAGAGGCACAACTGGGTTTGCTGCTGAGTATTTATGTCAGTGCTAGTTTAGGCTGTTGTGGGGCTTTGGGACAAGATGTGCACAGTGGAGCCCCTTGTCTCACAGTCTTAGACTCATAGAATTGCCATGCAGGAATCTCAACATGCGGTTCCCCAGTCCAATTTGAAACCACACTGGAACCTGCTTAGCTTTGCATATGTGCCAGCAGTTTCATTGCTACGCTAGTCAGAGGTGGGTGGGTGAGTCGCAAAGCCTGTGTGTTATTATGGGTCTTATAAGAATTAATTATTCTTTGCAATCTTACAAGTTTTGTTGTGTTGGCGTATGATAATGCTGTGTTCACACTTTGCAACCAAATGTTGCAAAGGCTCAAATCTTACATTTGAACTTGCTTGTTGTAAACTGACCTGTGTTCCTCTGATGAAGAGTGGTCTAGACAATCAATCAATCAATCAATCAATCAATCACTCAACCAATCATCAACAACAATAAATACTTGGCAACTGGTGAAAAATCTTGTGACAGTTTGCCAAAAGGTGCTCATAGGTCTGAAGTAAATTTTTGCTTGGATGCCTCAAGAGTCATAGTTATAAAAGCAGCAAACCTCTTGTAGGAGTAGGAGTAGGAGGAGTAGGAGGAGTAATAATAATTTATTATTTATACTCCACCCGTCTGGCTGGGTTTCCCCAGACACTCTGGGCGCCTTCCAACAAAAGATTAAAAAGACATTAAAACATCAGTCATTAAAAACTTCCCTGAACAGGGCTGCCTTCAGATGTCTTCTAAACATCAGCTAAACATCAGCTACCAGCTCCATCTGGTACACAGGCTGAGACCCTACCTGCCCGCAGACTGTCTCACCAGAGTGGTGCATGCTCTAGTTATCTCCTGCTTGGACTACTGCAATGCACTCTACGTGGGGCTACCTTTGAAGGTGACCCAGAAACTACAACTAATCCAGAATGCGGCAGCCAGACTGGTGACTGGGGGCTGCCGCTGAGACCACATAACACCGGTCTTGAAAGATCTACATTGGCTCCCAGTACGTTTCTGAGCACAATTCAAAGTGTTGGTGTTGACCTTTAAAGCCCTCAACGGCCTCGGCCCAGTATACCTGAAGGAGCGTCTCCACCCCCATCGTTCTACCCGGACACCGAGGTCCAGCGCCGAGGGCCTTCTGGCGGTTCCTTCACTGCAAGAAACAAAGTTACAGGGAACCAGGCAGAGGGCGTTCTCGGTAGTGGCGCCTGCCCTGTGGAACACCTTGCCACCAGATGTCAAAGAGATAAACCTGACATTTAGAAGACATCTGAAGGCAGCCCTGTTAAGGGAATTTTTTAATGTGTGACATTTTAATGTATTTTTAATCTTTGTTGGAAGCCACCCAGAGTGACTGGGAAAACCCAGCCAGATGGGCAGGGTACAAATATTATTATTATTATTATTATTATTATTATTATTATTACTATTATTATTATCAGTTGTTTATTTCTTTGACATCTAATGGGAGGGCATTTCACAGGGTGGTATAATGCAAAGCCATTAAAAGATATATGGCTGAGTTTATATCGTTTCCTGTTTAGGTTCCTTTCTGGTTGCCCAATATTATAATCTGTGTAAAGTAATTTGCGACACTCTGATTACATACTGTACTAGACAGACAGACATAACATTTGCTGGCTACTAGGACTCAGTAACACTTTGGCCTTTAACCAAAAGGCATAAAGTACCTGCCAACTTTTCTGTCATGTAATGAATTTTAAAGATGCGGAAATGTTCAAAATGAGAGATGTAAAAGTTGCTAACTGACGATAACTTCACTTTGGGGAAATGCATGTACATTTGGCACATTTTTAACATTTGACAACCTCTCATTTTTGATATTTATTACAGCAGACTCCCTACAATGGGCAGAGCAAGCCAACATTCTGAACACGTTAACATTTTCAAAATTCCATACGTGGCAATGGTGTTGTCAGATCCTCTTTCTAAGTCAGGTATCCCATCTGTCACAGATGCTATTGTTGAGATTCTAGCATTGCTGGGGGGGGGGGGGAGGGACACCTCCAAGGTCCCTTCCAACTCTGCAATTCTACGATTCTATGGATGGTATGCAAGTCCTACTCAGAGTAGATGCATTGAAATTAATGAACCTAAGTTACTCATGTCAATCAATTTCACTGGGCCTTCTCTGAGTAGGACTAGCATTGAATACCACCCACTGAGTCTTCTCTGATTCAAAGTTGGCACAGGTACTAGGTAAAAACCAGTAATAGGTTTAACTTGGTACTCCAAAAATGTTGCAGTGTGTGTGTGTGTGTGTGTGTGTGTGTGTGTGAGAGAGAGAGAGAGAGAGAGAGAGAGAGAGAGAGAGATGTTGGGATGGGTAATGAGAACTGTATTACACACCCACTGTTCTGCCGGTAAGATCCAAAAGATCAGCACAGCGCCTCTGATCTATGCAAATTATTATTATTATTATTATTATTATTATTATTATTATTATTATTATACCCCACCCATCTGGCTGGGCTTCCCCAGCCACTCTGAGCAGTTTCCAACAAAATATTAAAATACAGCAATGCATCAAACATTAAAAGCTTCCCTAAACAGAGCTGCCTTCAGGTGTCTTGTAAAAGTCTGGTACTTGTTGTTCTCTTTGACATCTGGAGGGAGGGTGTTCCACAGGGCGGGTGCCACTACCGAGAAGGCCCTCTGCCTGGTTCCCTGTAACTTGGCTTCTCGCAGTGAGGGAACCACCAGAAGGCCCTTGGCACTGGACCTTAGTGTCAGGGTAGAACAATGCGGGTGGAGACACTCCTTCAGATATACTGGACCGAGGCCATTTAGGACTTTAAAGGTCAGCACCAACGCTTTGAATTGTTCTCGGAAACGTACTGGGAGCCAATGTATTTCATTTAGACTTACTGCACAGTTGACAAGCCTGCTGAGGTGGAGGACCTGGTTTCAAACCAATGTTTATCCTGTCAAAGCCAAAGCTATTAAATGGCCACAAATCCAGATATTCTAGTTGAACTGGGTTGCAGATTTCCTCTTCCTTTGTGCTTTTCTTATTCATTCCTTTCAGCCTAACTGTAACATCGGCTGTCTGTCGTGCTCAGATTAATGCAATTTGCGACTCAACCACACCCTTCAGTTGCCCAACATTATGTTACAGGATTCAGAGCCCTATTGGATCTTGCATCCACAGTAGTAGGTCACAGGAGCCGGCTACAAAGTATGT